CTCCTTTTTGTTGGTTTCTAAGCGATGCGAACAACCCATTTAGGTAATACTAGAGAGCAATAAAGAAATTTCAAAACCAGAAGAGGGCTACACCAGGCTTCAGGAATGGCTAGGGAAAGGTCTTCTGACAAGGTTTCTTTTGTGTGCAATACAACTTTAACTCTTTGCAACTCGGTTCTTTCAGCAACGGAGACCGGTGGCGAGCAAGAAGAAAAATGCTAACACCTGCTTTCCATTTCTCAATTTTGAATGACTTCCTACCCATATTTAACAAGGTAGTCATTTTAAATTTTTGAACAAGACATTTATCATCAATATATCATGTAACTTGGAAGCTTATAGAGGGAAAACAAATAGGAAGAGATGGGAAGGGGAAGATAGAAGAGGAGGGTTAGTAAAGTGGAAGAATGAACTCTGCTTACCCAACTAGAGGATAAAGGTTGATCATAGAATGTATAGCAGTTGCTCTTATTTACTAATGTTATGCCAAAATAGGTTCTCGTATGTTGTTCTCTCGATGGTCATCTTCTAATGGTGTTTGTTAGATGACCTGTTCTTTTAATGGCCTACTCATTAACAAATTCTGTATCTACTGAAATTTTGAAATAATATTAGAGTATAACTCGATATTGAGGTTAATTTTTTAATAAATACTGATTCGTCGCCAGGGCGCGAAGTTAAGTACTATAAGTGATGAATAAAGACTGAGTACAGCCTCTATTATCTTAATTCTCACTTAGCAGTATTTTCGAAAAAAAATCAGCACTGAAGTTCATCTTATCTGTTGTACTACCTAACCAACTCTAATTTGTCTCCTCGACTTATAAACTGACGAAAAATATGATTGATATTACATGTCAATCATCGAAATTTGGATGCAATTGAAGAAACTACTTAAGTAAGCTCTACCAAATTATGCAGCGTTTCAAATATAGCTGCAACAGAAATTAGCTTCACTTTCTTCGCAAAAAGCTTTATTTTACGTTGTAGTATAAAAAGTATTCATTTTACTTCCATTTTAGCATTTTCCGTGGGCAGTTCTCTATTAACTAATGAATAAAAATTCATAGCAAATAGCTGTGTTGGCATTGTTAGTGTTTCATGTCATTACTTCAAGAAACAAAGTACAATTGCCTATGAGACATTAGGAAACGTAAAAATAGCTCCACTAGGTTTTGATACAGAGCATTGAGTAATGCTTGTTGTTTTTAGGATGCAACCATTCTGCTCCAGCAATTTTCTCGCTTTGCCGATACGAAAGAAACTACAGACGTCCTTCCTTTGATTAAACTATGTACATTGGATGTTATTTGTGGTAAGCTTTGAAGAGAGCCATATACAACGTTGCAATGACGTCCATTTTATAGAATCAGCCATGGGAGTAGACATGCGAGCTCAGCAGGGTCATAACAAGGAATATGTTCGATCGGTTAGGGAGTTATGCCAACTATTATGGGATCGCGAACGACTGCCGTGGCTTTGGCCTAAGGCTTTGTGGATGCTCTCGGGGAAAGCAGCTCGATGTGATAAAGCGCTTGACATAGTGAAGGGCTATACACGAGGGGTATGCCACTGATCAGCTTTTTTTCTTTGCTCCCCGTTCGCAATGTTCGCGTTTTAGGTCATTTCCAAAAGGAAAGAACAAAGAGTTAACAGAGAGCGAGATCTCAGTCGCAAGCCTGCATTTCTGGATCTCCTTCTGGATATGCAGGAAGCAAACAATCTTAGCGATGATGACATAGGAGATGAGGTGGACACTTTCATGTTTGAAGGTAATATGCAGCGCATGTGGCTACTGCTCTTCGACTGCACTTGCGAACACATACACATTTGAAGGTCACGACACTGTTTCAAGCGCAGTCGGATACGCTCTGTTCTGCTTAGGAAACTACCCAGAAGAACAGGAGAAGCTTTTTGAAGAAATCAAAACCGTGATTGGTAGGCGCTTACCATATATTTTACCGTTGCGGACTGATATGCAAATGCTTGAGGCCCAGAAGATCGTGACCTCACATTAGAGGACATTCGCAATTTGAAACATACTGACAAAGTGCTGAAGGAAGCTTTGCGAGTTTTTCCTACTGTTCCTATGATCGCCAGACGTTTGGAGAACGACATGAAGGCATGTAAGTGTGGATAGTTTTATTTACTTGGATTGTTGCTTTGACACACCGCTACACCTTGGGTTATCCAATTGGTAACAGTATTTTTTGAGGTGGAGAAACTATTCCGGCTGGAGTTACGGCTATAATCGTACCATTCGGAATTCATCGGGATCCTAAGGTGAGCTCAGTCCCGGATATAAAGTTATATAACCATGGTCAAATCTTACCCTCATTAAGGTTATTACGGCTGGAAGATTACATTTTTCTTAAGTACTCTAAGAATCTTGAGATAAAGTAATAGAACACTACGCTGTTGATTACAATGGAGATTAGGCTTTGGCACGAGGTCTCTAATTGGACCTTACGAGAACGAATCCCCGCTTGAAAATCCAGGAAATCACGAAGCCCCCCTTGTAACCTGTA